TCCTGAAATGACCTGAAGTAGCTGAAGCTTCTGAAAGTGGTTTCAGGTACCCCCATCCAATCATTTGGATGGGGGTAACTGAAACCCCATTCAGAAGCTTCATCCACTTCAGCGGTTTCAGGTCCCCACCTGAAATTCCTAAAATGACATGAAGTGGCTAAAAAAACAGGCAGAAAAAAAAAAAAAAAAAAAAACATAAAACTTGTCTTTCAAACCATCCGAAACTTCTGAAATGACCTGAAGTGTCTTCATGCCATTTCAGCGGTTTCAGACCACTTCAGAATCTTTCATTCTGAAATTTCAGGTGGTCGTTAACCGTGAGTGCATTGACAGAAGCTTATGAAAGTCTATGGCTCAAAGTTGTTGATGTCATTTGACCGTCATCCAGAGACTAACGATCAGACTGAGTAAATGAATAAGATCCTGCATCAGATACTCATTATGTATATTAGACCCGATCAGATTAATTGGGATGAGATCCTCCCTAAGGTAGCTAGCGCCTACAATAACAGTATTAATTTAACTATCTGGAAAACTCCTAATAAGTTACACAAATCCTTTAGACCACGCAGGCCGTTTGAAGGACTGAATCGTGACCATATACATAGATTACCACTCGGAACTAGAGAGTTTGCGTTACAGCATGAGAAGGAAATTGCAAAAGTGATTGAGAATCTGAGAAAAACGCAACATAAAATGATAAAGCAGGCTAACAAGCATCGCCGCCCATCACAGTTCTAGGTAGGTGATTTAGTATGGGTCAAGTCTAAGGAGGTCGCCCAAAAAAAAAAAATCTAACAAAACTTGCTACCCACATATAGAGGACCTTGGTCTGTCCTAGAAGTGAACGGCGAAGATGACGGACCATACTACATGATTAAGATACCAACACACCTGCACACATACCAGTCTTCCACGCATCAAAGTTGTTGCCTTGCATCACCAGTTAGCAGTTCCCATCGCGTCGATCAATGATTCCATCAGATATGAATGACGTATATGATATAGACCGCATTGTGGAAGAAGATGGGTTATCCTACACGATTGAGATACCAGCACACCTCCACACATACCAGTCTTCCACGCATCAAAGTTGTTGCCTTGCGTCACCAGTTAGCAGTTCGCATCACGTTGGTCAATGATTCCGTCAGATATGAAAACCTAAAATGGGTAGGGGTGAGAGATGAGTCTCCTCCTCCGAACCGTACGTGACAGTTTTCCGTCATACAACTTTCCATCAGCGTTCCGTCTCGAACAGACCACATTGTGGAAGAGGATGTATTCAGGGCCGGAGGTAGGGGTCCTCCTTAGAAACAGTACAACGTCAGGTACGCTTATCAGGAATCCGAGAACGACCGCTGGTTCACAAGAACAGAGCTTTTAGAGACCGCTCTCGACATAGTGCACACCTATGACAGAGAAAAGAAAGGTAAAGGTTCTGCCTTGCATTGATGTATTCTCGGAGGACCTCGAATTTAGGTTGGCGGAAGTAAAACACTTTGCACCTTTAATGTAGTAGATACAGTTCCCAGGGCTCGATCCCTAGACCTCGCCCTCACCCGTGTACAATATGAGTTGACCCATGTGAGTTTGAACCCACGACCTGCATCTTGAAAGTCTTCTGTTTGTTTGTTGTAGGTTGTATGGTCATCAGGTGTTGAACCGTATGTTTGTAGATTAGAGGTCTTACTAGTGGTAGGACTCGTAGTTGCTACAATGTTGAAAGGTCAATGTCATAGCTGCTACGGTACCGAAAGGTCAAGTCCATAGTCTTCCAGAAGATCCGGAATTGGTCCTTCGTCAGACAGGGATGCGGTCCGTAGGCAAGTGGGCAAGTGGGCAGACTAACCCTGCCCATTGAATGGTACCCACTCCCGGTCGCACTTTGTCAAGTCAGCAAGTACCATGTGGGACTGTGTGCACCCTGGGCCCAAGGTCCAAGGACAAACCTTTGACAATTCGAAGTATCAATAAAGAGGCAGCATCAAGTCATTCATTCATTCTGCCTATGAGCCGTGCGGAAGCGCTGTCGGAGCGTCTTGTGTAAGAAGGTTTGCAGGTGTCCGTGGGAAAAGTGGGTTAAGAGGAGGAATACGCGGTCATACTACCGTCATAGTCGTTTGGGTTAGTATGAGGTTTTTTTTTTCTTTTGTCTTTTTTTGTTTTGGTTTAATATTGTCGTGTGTCACATAAAATGACCTGAAGTGGTTGAAGCTTCTGAAAGCGGTTTCATGTCCCCCCATCTAAATGATTTTCATATTTTTAACCACTTCATGTTTTTTCATGAGTTTCATGTGGGACCTGAAACTGCTGTATTGACCTGAAGTGGCTGAAACTTTTGAAACGGGTTTCATGTATCTCCATCTAACCATTTGGATGGGGGGACCTGAAACCGCTTTCATATTTTCACCCATTTCATGTCATTTCAGGAATTTTAGGTGGGGACCCGAAACCGTTGTAATGACATGAAGTGGCTGAAACTTCTGAAAGGGGTTTCGGGTACCCCATGGTTGGATGGGGGGAATTGAAACTGCTTTTAGATTTTCAGCCACTTCAGGTAGTTTCATGAGTTTCAGGTGGAGACATGAAAATGTTTTATTGACTTGAAGCGGCTGAAGCTTCTGAAACGGGTTTTAGATCTTCCCTGTCTAAGTACCTAACACTTGTATGAAGCGGCTGGAAGTGACCTGTATATAACATATGTTCTTAACCATCTCTCATATGATCAAACAAGGGAGGATTGTACTCTTACTATTCTTTGGGGCGTAGCTATACGACTATCTGATTTCGTATAGTGGACAATTGTGAAGCGAGGCCCTAAGAATCCGCCCGCTCCGCCCGCTTATCGAGTACCTTCCCGGGTCTTCATCGTCTCAGGGCATACTCAGGGCAACAATAATTGAGGTTAGATACACACATGGAGTGTCGTATTGCGGCCAGATATGTCATGGAATTGCTAGTATGGGAGCGTGCTCTCAGAAAGGACGAGTGAACTGAGTGTGTAGTGCCAACGAGAGAAATTGAGGAGAACAGGGACGTAGTACCACAACGGATGGGGTTGATAGCTGAAGGAGTGGTGTGGTACGTTACTTTACATATATGCAGAATGAAAAATTTATTTCCTTTTAGAACATGGGTATGGAAAACACCCCTGGTATACCTTTTGTCGTTTCTGCATGAGGTGTGTGGCACAAGGGGCTATACACTGTGTAGTACTGTGACGACCACAACTGTAACTGTCAACAATCCAGTATATCATGCAGTCAGCTGATGAGCTATTCCGCCCTTCGAAAAAATGTGAAAATGCATGAAAGGCCAACAAAAAACGACCACGCCCCGGACCGTCGCTTTCCAACTACACTGATATTCCTCAAGGCAGGCAAAAAAAAAAAAAAAAAGGTTTCCGCAAATTGGAAAGTGGAAAGAGCGGGGCACCTACCTAACTCTATAGTAAAGTAAATGTATTTGACCATACTTATGGCCGGAAGTTGATGTATTTGACCATAATTATATCCATAAGTAGGGAAGGAACTCCTAGCGTGAGTATTCCCTCAGTTGGTACACGCATAAATTGTTGAAAATACGGATCTGGGATGTAAGAAAATACAGCCTGAATCCGGATGAGATTGTTTTCCTTTTTATCTTACGGGTGATGACTTTGAGATATCGTCATTGAACTGACTTTATGCTTTTGATCTGGTAGTACTTGGATTCAAAGTCCTATCTGTATTTCATCAGTTTTATGGGTGTAGCAACTGAGCTGGCGATAGCCCCGTTGGCAATCCTGATGGATGGATGGAATTCTTAAATTACCTGGGCCCGGTCAGTCCCACGTTGAAAGACATCGCTAATTTTTTAGGAAAACAAAATTTGCAGAAAAAAGGCGGGGGCAGAATCCACTGTTTGTGGCCGTCGATGTTCTTTTTGAGTCGACGGTAAGAAAAGGAGAAAGGAGAATCCCTTGGAGAAGTACGGTAGGCCTGCATGCCCCTGCGGATTGGCACTGCAGTGGAATCGCCCCCTTGAGCGCGGCGACGTAGCGAACGTACTGAGGGCGGCGGCTGTGATGTGGGTGTTGAAATTCAAGGTGGAGATGGAAATACCTATTCAGGAATGACTTTCCAATTTGGGTGATTTATTGGAGCTGCGGGCCATACGGGGGTTGGGGATGAAGAATACCCTGGGGGTGGAGGGAGGAGAAGGGGTCAGTGAAGGGAGGGGGGGAGGGAGGAGGGAAGAGAGGGAGGGAGCGCAAGGGATAATAGCATGTACCATACTCCTTGGCCTGAACACGAGAGAACTGTACTCTTGCTATTTGCAGGGGCGTAGCTATAGGACTACAGTAGTAAACGATAGGTCGGGTCTGAAGAACCACGATGGTGTGTCCTCAGACGGAGAGGATTTGCAGGGCTGTTAGCGATAAACCAAGGAAAAGGAGATCAGCTTAGGAAAGAGGTGGGGTGGCGTGGAGAAAGGAGGGTGACCGGCGGGAAAGGAGGGTGGCAGGAGGGGTAAGGAGTAGATTGGGTAAGGAGGGGTACGCGGGGGGCGGAGGGGCGGAGCGAGCGGGGAGGTGGGGGGACGTGGAAAACGTGGGGAAGCTTGGCAGGGGAGAGAAGGGAGGTAGAAATGTAGAGGGGGAGAGGCAGATTCACGTCCCGCAGGGTCCGATTTGACCAGCCAGCCCGTTTTGTCTATCCCCCTTCCTGTTTCTCCCTTCCGCCCTCTCTCCCTCTGGCCCTCTCTCGGTCTCTCCGTCTGGCCCTCTCTCGGTCTCTCCGTCTGGCCCTCTCTCCTCGTCACTGGAGCACTTCCTCCCGCGCTTGGAACGGGGAAAGAAATGACCGAAAGGCGGGGGCAGATGATCGGGCGGTGGCACAGCGGTGCTCATGAGGATCGCTGAGAGAGGAAAAGAGGTGGTTGTTTTTTTTGCTAGGCAGAGGGGGGGGTGGCAGTGAGAGCTTGCGGAGGGGATTGGGCCACGCGCGATTCCATAGGCTAATGGGGTCCTCTCGGTGAGAGAGAGGTGGTTGGCTTGTCCTCGGGTGATTCCCTGTGGTTACACAGATCTGCTGAAGTGGCGTCGCTCGGAGATCTTGCGCACCCGATGATTGATGGGCCTTGATTCCATTGGCTGAATTGGGTTGTCCTGTGATGTGGTGATTGATTGGATGTGGCTGATGTGAGCGTAGCAAGTCTATCCTCGTTTCAAACCTCGGACAAGATTGCCGAGTAAATGACCTTTCGGCAATTCTGCATCCACGTGCGGTCTGTAGTTCTGCATCCACGTGGGGTCTCCAGTTCTGCATCCACGTGGGGACCCCCGTAGCAACTTGTTAACCCGACAGGTCAGTAGATTGGAAGTGGAGGAAGCTCGGCGCAAACAATTGACAATTGACATGTGGCAGCTCAATGAATTCCTCGGGGAAAGGTTTGTGTGAATATGGTAATGAGGAATTTTGCCGAGAAGAGAGTGACAGGTCATTGTCCCGAGAGTACGGAGTTGGCGCCAAAAATTGACACGTGGCGGGAACGGTGTTGGCGCCAAAAATTGACACGTGGCGGGAACGGAGTTGGCGCCAAAAATTGACATGTGGCGGGAACGGAGTTGACGCCAAAAAGGCGTGAGGATTTGCCAAAAAGAGTGACCGGTGGTAAGTAAGTGGCCAGGAATTTCTTCACTTGCTGGAACTCAACCCGCAAACATAGTGACGCGAGTGAAGACGTCACACTCGTCGAGAGAGAGAGAGAGAGAGAGAGAGAGAGAGAGAGAGAGAGAGAGAGAGAGAGAGAGAGAGAGAGAGAGAGAGAGAG